TAAAGATATCTGCGGACCTGCTAAATGCGTTAAACCGATTAATGTGAGATTAATAGGCTTTCGCTGCCTTATATTTTTCTGTAATATATGTACCAATGTATTCCTTAACAAAGTATCTGACATTACACTCCACCAGACCCCTCTCGCCTATCTGCCTCGGGTATATTTATTCAACTCGTAAGATGTGTATCTTGAGTATTCAAATAACGACAGTTTAGTAACTACACACAAGCTTTAAGTAAGCATAAGTTTGTTTCATTATGGTCAACAATAACATGGCTTCTGCAGCATTTAGTTACTTCAGCTCTTACTACATAACCAAAGTAACGGGTTTCCTATACTTTCGTCATTATGGTTTTTTTATTCTTACGTAATTTGAACCAACCCTCCACTGCAATCGATAGGAGCTAACACAATCCCAACAACACTATCCTTTCATTAAGTTCAACAACGAAGACACATTTGGCGACGCCTACAGTTTTAATCAACTGACAGTGTAGGACCAAACCAAGCCACCTTTAGCTTACAAAATTATGCGAAAAAATAACTAGTATATGTTCGAATTCGTCGACGCACACCATATAAAGCATTGTCAAAAGTTACAAGCAGGTAGGTTTCGAAGCGTTCACGTTGCTATGCATGTAATTAGCTGTAGTCAATAGTCGTACAGTTGCAAACATGGACGAAGTACTATTGAGGAACGAAGTCGTCAGTGAAGTTACCATAATGTCGGTCCATGTGTACGTATGGTGGAGATAACCCGTAAAATCGCAGTAGGTGGCGTGGTGACTGGATGTGCAGACAGAGTGCTAACTCTTTTTGGACGCATCGGGAAAATAGGGAACAAGGACTATATCTAACTGGCCAGTGTTTAAGCGTAGGTGGTGGCTTTATTCCGTGGCATGGCGAATTCGCCACGTAGCGACGTTGTTAAACAGCTATATATGGGCTGAGCTAGATCGAAAGCTTGATGGGTTACAACGCACAACGTCCTGGCTCACTGTCGTCGATCCTTTTGAACGGTAATGCACAAATAACAAAGCATCCTATCGACCGATTGTTCACTCGGTTATTCGCAGTCGTGTGACCCCATTTTCCTAGTTGGCTAATCAAATAGCGTAGTCAGTGCCTGCCATAATCTTTTGGCTAGCCGAGGATGGAAGAATCATGAATACTGGTGTGCATAATTGTGCAGCCGAGTAGAAATTGCAAAATATGGGGGTCTGGCTACTTGTGTTGTGCTATATCTATCTGGGTACGAAGACTACTTGTCCAGCTATCAACACTGGACATTAGTCATGCAGGTGGTGGGTGAATTTAAATCGTTTTGATGCATAAGCCTTAGTTTCGGCAAGTCCTAGTTGGCTAATTTTGTCCCAACTCAGGCAAGAAAACGATTCCTCAGTCCAATGTCCAAAATGTCAGACTAGCAACATTAGTCGCTGCGAATGTAGTATATTATAATAAACAACACGTAAGTTTGTGCCCATGTGCTTTTGGCATCACAAGAAAAATCCAAGCAATGTGAATTCAACCTGCTCTTGGCTAACTCAAGCGGCTTCGGCGGGTCCTTGGTTTTCTTAACTATTATCGAGTGGCAATGGTGTTTATGCGAGCACTATACAACAAATAACTTCCTTGCTACACAATGCACACCATTCTTCCGGCTCTGAAACGGTTCTTAAGACGATATTTCTAACAAACCTACATCCCCAGACAAAAATAACTTACTGTTGCCGACGCCTAACGTATCAGCCGTCGCTTTTGAAGCAGTTATTTGACACTTCGCCCAACGCAGAAAGCTTGTATATTGCCAGCTCTCGCTGTAGCGTGTTCGGCAGAAAACGACAAGTGCTCTTACTACTGGTCACTTGAATTTGTTGCCAACTCCTGCTTAGTTGCATCACAGGCTATACCGAGCCATTGACCTATGCAACTCATAGCGCAACGGATACATATATTTCGCACGAAGCAGAGCACGCAAAAGTTGACCCACATCGTACGAACGGCCTAGGACACTTCCTAAGTGATCGCAATACCATCGTAGGTTGTCTTTTACCAATCAACTAAATAAGTCCAACCCATGGACAAAACAGCGACCCAGCCAACATTGCCTGCATTCAGCAAACTTATTCCGATAAAGTGAGGCTTCGACGTAGCATCCATTGGAGCTAAGCAATGTTCCTTGAATTTCAGATGAGGGCATATGCGTCTTTAAATGTTACAAAGGTTTCCGTCACTCTTGGTTTCAATAGAGCTGGGTCGACTAGTACGTAACCTAGCACAAAATCACTCGCTTTGCTGCACAAGTGATTTCTAGGTGCCCACGAAGAAAGCGCTTGGCTCGGGCTGACGTTACACTGTACATCAGCATTCGAGCAGGTGCATGCCATGGCACCAACGGTGTTTTGCATGTTCTGTGCTTTATCTTTTAACATTCGCGTCGAAGTGCTTGAATAATTTATAGCATACTAATGGTAAGACCACTTTTCACTTTGTTGCCAGGTTTGCACGCTGGCTAGGAGCGATTCCGATGGTAGAATGACCATGTAAGACAGTCGCATGCGTATTGCTGAGACACAATGGTTGCTAGTGCGATAGATGTGTAATAGGTATACCTCACCAACAAATACGTCATAAGGGCACATGACACAAATGAATTGACGTACTTAAGCTTTTTAAGTGTCCTACGCTATGATATCAAAACTGCAAAAGAAGACTGCGTTGACGGCCGGTTATGGCGACAGCGTAAACCTAAAATCTTAACATATTCTAACAGTACTTTTTAGGTAAAAGTGTAAATTAATAATAAGTATACAGATGAACGCAAAAATGTGAGCGCGAGGTAAATTGAAAAAACGTAGACATCTGTGACTGCGTGCATGTAGGGCTGCGGTTTGCACAAGGGTTAAACACCATTTGCCCTCCAAGACCAATAACATTTAACCAGGGACTATCAGACTGGAAATTAGTATGCGAGTTGCAGGGTAGGAAGATAAAAAGTATTTAAGAAATTTACTCAAAAAACAAAAGAATATGTAATGCTTAAAGTGGACACTGAAAATAAGGACACAGGCATCAGAAGTGATATACTTTCTACAGTACTCCTCAGGCTAATACAGCCAAGAGCATGCAAATATAACGCAACGCAGTACGCCAATGAACGCCAGACTGTGGATCGTAGTTGCGGAGCAGTTGAACTACGCTGCTACGTTCGATCGATACTCCTGTTTATCAAGTGAAGACAGGTGGTACAGCAGCCGATGGCGCGAATACCACAATTATCCACCACCATTGTCCGGCGCTGAGGCGTTGGCACTTGTCCATTGCAAGAAAAGCGTTTGCATAGGGGTCCTCATGCACAACGCCAGTTGCATCACTCGGATGGCAATAGCCACCAACGTCATTAATGGGTGTTTTCTGACCATTTCGAGGCACCCATCGGGCACAGTGTAATATGCGTTGAATGGGTCGCCTGGTCAGGTTTCCTGTCCATTATGAAACAAGCGCTCCATGCTGGCACTATTAACTCCTCCGACTACGTCACTTCTTCGCGACCCCGGGCCGTACGCATTGATTTGTTTCGACAGCCGTTCGGTCGTATGTCCAATGTACGTTGTACCACCGGTGCAAGATTCTGAAACCGGAGCTGTGCAACTAGCGCACATTGCTACAGGCACTGAAATTGACTCGGCCTTAAACGGCTGAGCGAAAATGAACGAACGCCAAAATTCGTAGTCCGGTGACACTGGAATGAGAGAATTCTCGATCACTTTCAAGGCTGCCAGCGAATGGTTACCTCGTTGCATCCATCCGCAAGCACGCCACAGCCTGCACGCTCACGAAAACTCTCAGTGCACACCCTAGATGTTTAGCGTTCTTACCGTGCCTTTCAAAGAGAACGTCACCTTTGATTTGGTTAAAAGTAGCCAAGGCCTATCAAGCAGTCTGCTCAAGTGGTATGACCCTTACTATACCGCTTATCACCCAAAGCCTTAAAGACAGACTCCCGGTCCATTCCCGTTCGTCTAGTTCGTAACAAGTTCAAGGCCGAGTCAATTTCAGTGCCTGTAGCAATGTGCGCTATTTGCACAGCTCCGGTTTCAGAATCTTGCACCGGTGGTACAACGTACATTGGACATACGACCGAACGGCTGTCGAAACAAATCAATGCGTACGGCCCGGGGTCGCGAAGAAGTGACGTAGTCGGAGGAGTTAATAGTGCCAGCATGGAGCGCTTGTTTCATAATGGACAGGAAACCTGACCAGGCGACCCATTCAACGCATATTACACTGTGCCCGATGGGTGCCTCGAAATGGTCAGAAAACACCCATTAATGACGTTGGTGGCTATTGCCATCCGAGTGATGCAACTGGCGTTGTGCATGAGGACCCCTATGCAAACGCTTTTCTTGCAATGGACAAGTGCCAACGCCTCAGCGCCGGACAATGGTGGCGGATAATTGTGGTATTCGCGCCATCGGCTGCTGTACCACCTGTCTTCACTTGATAGACAGGAGTGTCGATCGAACGTAGCAGCGTAGTTCAACTGCTCCGCAACCACGATCCACAGTCCGGCTTTCACTGGCGTACTGCGTTGCGTTATATTTGCATGCTCTTGGCTGTATTTGCCTGAGGACTTCTATCGAGTCGAAATCTTTTGCAAAAATTGACTTTATTTATAGGACTATTTACCACTTTTTATGTTGCATATTTGCATAGAATACAATTGGCACCCCTTTAACTCAATCAACACAAAAGATGCCAGTGTTCGTGACTATGACTTGGTGTTGGGATGCGTTACCTTGTATTTTTAACTGCTTTTAAGGGTGGAATAGTTATATAGGTAACTAATTCGCAATTACCAGGTCATGCCATGCGATTATGTTTAGAAGCTTAGACAATAGCGATATTCCTACGAAGATTAATGATATACTTGGTGCTCAAAGCTGTTTAAAGCAGAAACACAAACTACGAAACCGTTCAAATGGATCAGTTACCTGACAGTCGGAATCACCGGAAGCTGTATCGAAGGATGCAGTATTTTATTTGGGAAGAGCGATGGCTGCGCATAGCAGAATGTACATCGGTGCTGTGCTCTACAACGCGTGTAAATTTATCGGAATTTCAAGTATTCAAAAGCTTGTGCAGTATTGCAAGCAAAGGTTAAATGCTATATATATATATATCTGCAATCATGAATTTATTAACATATTTCAATTATTGCATTATTTAACATAATATAAATAACTTTCAAAAAGCAATTTATATCGTTTAAGTTAGCTAATTTTATACATACGAGTTTTATATAGATGCACTACGCAGAGGTGTAGCAAGCATAAGGGCTGTTACCTGTATACTCCCGCATAGCCACAAAATAAGTAAACAACCTTGTTTTCAATTATTATGAGCACTTTTATTGCTGCCGTAGAAAATAGCATAACTAGGTCATGTTAAACATGCTAGCCAGGTAAACCTGAAAATATTAATCCAATAACGCCTTGCTGCTACCATATATTACCAAGCTGCGACATTTTCCGCTTAGCACTGACCGTGTTTGATCCGGGGAAGTATGATTTCACAGTGGCGGGTCCATTTGAAATGCATCTTTTTCTGTAGTGCAAAATAGAGTTCTCCCAAGGAAACTTCCTTTGCAATAAAAGTAAACTTATTTGTAATGTTTTATATACAAGGTTATTTATAGCAAATTTTTAAAGAATTCAAATAAAAAATTTAAGGTAATATCATTGATCATAAATTATTCCACGTAACCCTGCGCGTAAAATTCCGTGGTCCTTCATTTTCAGAATGGCAGATATTCAAGCATGCAGGGCCGTATGTCAAGGAAAAACCTGGAACGATTTGTAGAGAATATATTTGGTTGCTACGTCAAATTTGTACTGCAGAGCTCCCGCCTGACGAGTATTTCCATGTAATGTAAGCAGACGCTGTGGTGTAAAGGCGCTAGATGCATGTTTATCGCCGAAAAATGAATGTAAATGAATGAATGTAAACCTAACTTAAAAAGATATGCTTTATGTGGTATTTGCGGACAATTACTCAGCATTCTGCTTGGCCACCTGTGGAACATTTTGCTTCGTATACCATAAAATGGACAAAAGTAGCATTTAGCCGTCTCACAGGGAACGTACCTGACCCATGTTGTCTTATATTTTTAAGCTCTCTTGGAGAAGCGCCTACGTCGCAACGCGCAAGTGACTAAAGGAAACTTATTGGGTGGATGGATTCGAGCTAGACAGGAGTAGGACGCATACAGAATGGCTCGCGGAACGGTGGCACTAGCTCAGGAAAATTAAACTAAACCTAATCACGTTGTTTCCATCGCACAGGCTAAGTATCTTTCCTACTTAGCCCCTACGCTTTAGTGCGCTTAGCAGGACAGAAACTGGACGCGGGTTACCAGGACAAAGCCAAGGACACAGCCTTGCGGAACACAGCTGGTCATATTTATAAGGAAGAACAGAGATCCATTTACTTTCCCACAGAAAGCGCGGCCATGCAGGAACACAGTGAGCCAAGAGAGGAATATTCCGGAAAAGCCATTACTGCTAATTGGGCTAAGCAAAATCTCGTGTGCAAGTTTCTCAAAGCATTACAGAAATCCAAAAATACGACATATAGCCACTTACCAGCATCCATGGATTAAGCCCACCTTTCTCGAGCTACCATGAGTTGGGTGACAAATGACGGCATAGAAAACGTTTCAGTCGCAGTAATCATGATAGACGTATCCTGCTATTATGAAAAGCTATACAGCGTTTGGCCCACTGCTGGGTATCGTGTGCGTACTGCGTCAGATAGCCTGCTAGCACAAGTTACAGAAATCGGAAAATTTTTTACGATAATTCGTACATATTTTCTGCTTTTCGTTCAATCTCATTACTACACTGCTTACCAAATATCTTCCAAATTCAATATTTCATTTTCCTTCTATGTTTACTTGTTTAAGTTTGTTCTAATAAAGTGCAGCCGTCCAACAAGTCATTGAGACTCCCGTGTTTAACTTCGCCACCAGTATCTTATCTCACATCAGGTTTCGATTATTCACTGCCATTGTACCTACTGTGTTGTTCTTACCTGCTTTCACGTTGCCCCTTGTAACTGTCGCCAGCACTCATCCCAGTGTAAGGCTTATAGTTTCTGAAGTGTATATTGTTATTTTTCGTAAAGTACATATTAAGCCTCACGTACCTTTATTAGGCAGATACGCAGTGTATAGAAGTTGCAAGTCTAGCAGCTTATTCACTAGAAATTTCTTTACGTGGACTTCGCTGTTGCTCGTCTGTTTCGCACTTCATACTTCTGGTAAGTAGACTGCTTTTGTAACTTTGCATTAATGTTTAGCACAGTATACGTCTAGACGAGTGACTTATCTCCTGAAGCGTCCACATTATAGAGGTAAGGTAAAAGAACAATGGCATAAGCGAACGAGGAAACATGTAATGCGGACGTCGCAAGCGGGGTTCCCCTTGCTGCATTCTACTTTTGGTGCCTCTCCCTTCCTTAAATTCGAACGCGCAATCAGAACCAGGCGGAGTTCTCAAGCACTGAATATTTCTTCTCGGAACTTGATAGTGAGTAGCATGAGCACTGAATATGGAGCCTGTAGTTCAACTTAAAATTGCCGATGCTGATCGTGATGTCGTGAAATAGTAGCTGCGTAGCTCGGTAATTCAAAACCGTCCCATCGTCTCCAATTTTAGCAAGCTTTTAGCGGTGCTTCGGAAGTAGCTATCTGGGTTACCAAAAACATACCGCACTCATATGCGTACCCCACGTAGCCTTTTAACCACCTAGGTTATTTGGGGGTTAAGACGTAGTCTTGCCTGTGTATACCCGGTTGCACGTGTGTTATCTACAGAGGCAGTTTGCATCCAGCTTAAGATAGGTAGTGTTCGACCATTTCACTCTTCAAAACTGCAAATATGGCCAATCGTTTGCCGCAGCATATCACCCGTAGCTTCTACACCATTAGCCGTTTGGGTATACAACCGTGAAACAGCCGGAAAACGTCCATGAACACGCCGCTTATCTCGGTACTTTCGAAGCTTAGAAATTGCATCGCTTTACCGGGTGCTGACGCCACCAGCCCCTTAATTTAATGGCCGCTATGCGCTGTTCTGGCTACAGCGTTTGGCAAGAGCTCCAAGGGACACACAGGCTACGGTAGTTGTGATAAGTATGTGCAGCTTAATATCTACCGCTTGCGTAGGGTGACGTTTCCTGCAATAAAAGGCGCCGCTCGGACAGACGAATCCTGTAGCGTGCGCCATCAGCCTAAGCTGTCGCCTTTCAAGAGCCTGAAAGTGGAAATTGTACGCACATTTCCTGTAGGTTACATGCACCGCTTTTGCCATGTTGTACTGAGACACAGGTTGATTGTATCACTGCAACAGCTGGCAAGAATCACGATTGGAGGAGGACAAAATTACGCAGTTGAACATTAAAATTACTGCTAACGGGCCTTTCTGGCTGAAGCAGTGCAATGAAGCTGCATGATATTAACTTTGCTGAAATATTGGAAGGCTACCAAATGTCACAATTTCCTCCCCTGGGCCAGCATCCCAGGTGTTCTAAAAATGAAGTATCACAAGTGCTGTATACGAAAGGTCAAATGCACGAGCAAGTTAAAAGGTAACTCTGGTAAACAAACTGCTGTAATCTGATCAAAGTCTAACTGGGAGAGTACATTATGGCGTTGCAAGGAGAAGGATTAACCAGTAGGGAAGCAGAGAATTAGACGCTTTGTGTGTATGTGTCTGGGGTTGTATGCACATGTCTGTGTAGTCTAGCCGTCAAGAGTACTGACAGGACACAAACATCACCTCTCCGCTTAATGGTATGATGCGCCAAAACCATATCGGTTCGGTCGTATTTGTTCCCTGCTCGTCCTGCGTAGCTGCGTGCTTTGCGTGGGTTCATCAGTGAAGGTTGGTGGCATATGCTCCGTTTGTCTGATACTTGTGAATAATCGCCAGGCATTGAGTGTGCGGCCATCCTCCAGCCGGTAAGTGCCTGGCCTACATGTACGCGTTATTCTCATCGGATCTGATAACGTGGGTTGTTCTTTTGATGCAAGTTTACCTTCAAGCGCACGAATGTTCCGGGCTGGAGCGGAGTAGTAGGCTTCTGCTAAAGAGTCTGATATCGATGGCCACGATCTAACTCGTCAGAATTATTGGTTGCAAGAATAGAAATTGCGGTATTCAACTTTGTCCGAAGGGCACGGCCAAGCATGAGTTCAGCTAGCGTTTTGTCTGTGGCTCGGTGGAGTGCGGTTCGGTAAGAAAATAGTGCTAGTAAAACTGCATCCTCCCAGCCTGTACCCGATAAGCGAATAGTTTGGATACTCTCTTTCAGTGATCGATTGAACCGCTCTACCATGCCGTCTGCCGCTGGATTATACGGCGTTGTACTTGAGTGCCGGATAGCGTGAAGTTGAAGGAACGAATGCTACTCGTGGCTTGTAAACTGTGGCCCGTTGTCCGTCACTATCTTCTCTGGTACTCCGAAGCGGAAAACATATATTTCAGCCATCGAATACTGCTGGCAGTAGCCACCTCTCCGCACAAATGGACTTCCGGCCACTCACTGTAAAAGTAAGTCGCCACCAAACCGTTCCTTTGATGCTGAGGCGCCGAGCTAAATGGACCCATTTTGTCAATATCTATCTTGGCCTATGGTCGCATAGGATAGTCAATGGGTCGTATAGGGGATGAAACCGGCCCTGAACTCTTGTCTGCCATTTGACATGAAGACCAGTCATGAACAATTTTGCTGTTTGGTGTGACATTCTGGGCCACCAGAAGCAAGCTTCAACCTTGAGTTTCGGAAGAACGATACTAGTGTGGCCTTCTTGAGCACATGCATGATCTCTTGCATCAAGTTCCGAGGAGCCACAAAATTTGCGCAGCGAAGTAAACATATATTTACGAATGAAAGTTCGTGACACAACACGTAGTAAGGACGAAGCTTGCCTGCAATCCTGTTACTTTGTGACCAACCGTTTAGCAGAAAACCCTGAATGCAGTAGAGTGCCTCATCTTCCTGAGTCGTCTTCTGGAGTTCTTCCTTAGTCAGGGTTGAGATTGGTTCACTACTCAGGAAAGACACCAGTAACCTATCATT